ACACTATCACTCTTCATTAAGCCCATTCTTTGACATTTGCAGCCGTGACCTTTACAATGCTCCAAATCAGGTGCAGGATTTTTGGATACAGACTCATTTCCTATCCAAAGCAGGCATCTTTCCCCAAAGCTGTTGGGACACTCAGGTTATGCTGTCTTCTTTATTAGAAAACTCTTTAGTATTTGCCCTAGTTATGTAGAAATGAACCACAAGGCAGGGTTATATGGTAGGAATTTATTAATGAGCAAACAACTTTGTTCATACCAGGAAGACCAGCAATTAGGTTATAAATGACTTGAGAGCATATGCAAGAACTTACAATTTTAGAGCATTCCATCAGAATGTCTACTGCCCAAGTAGGCCCACAAGAGGTGCTCCATAAATGCTGGCTATTGTTTTATGCTGTACTCCCTCTGAGCAAATGATGTGACCTGCTGAGAGAGAGTACACATAGGGAGCCTCCCTGTAAGGGTAAGCTGGAAAATTCAGTAGGTACTGTTTTTAGATTGTGTCCCTCAGAAAATTTGGGATGAAATCCTACGCTGTTTGTTTACTCCCCAGGAATCCCACCATGGCCTATTGATTCCAGAGAACTGAATCCTCACTGTACAACCCCCAGATTCACAATTCTAAGAAACAGCCGTTTAACGCACACCTCAGTGGCTTCTAGGGCACCGCTTTGTTCTTATACAGAAACCAACATTAGCCATCGGAAGGCAATCTAAAATCTACAAAGCCTAGAGAACTCTCTGGAGAACTAACTACTATACAGAATTAATTTTATATTCCTATGATCACCTTCAAAACTCCTAACCTGAAAGTAACTTGAATACTCCATGGCAAAAAGCAGGGAGCTTGAAAAGCAAATACCAAACTTTTATACAGGTGCCAAAGAAGACACCAAGCCAAGAAATGTTACCCTGTGCATAGGAAACCAGCTCACAATAGGTAAGATTGCCTTCTGAAAAGGGTTTGAGAATATGAAGCTTGTTTCTTAACTCTCATTAAAACACTAGGGTGGTTCTCAAATGTGAGGCAGAAAAAGGCATACTTTGGGTCCTTCTTAGTACAGTATCTGAGGTTAACAACAAAAGAAACATTTTGACTAGAGAAGAGCCAAAAATAAGAACTGGTCATTGAGTCTCCAGGGCAATCTAAGGCTGGAAATCCCTTAGCCAGTGAATGTAACTTTAGCAGGTACTTTTGGTCTAAAGCAACTAGTGCGATGAAATACAGTGTAATGGTCAAAATGTACTTCCAGCTCTGCCACTGTCTGGGGGACCTTGGACAATCCATTGAGTCTTTGTGTAGAATCAGGGTTAATAGCTTCAGATAAACCAGCAGACTCTGTTCACTGCTGTACCTCCAGTGAACAGTGCTTGATACCATGGATATCACTGAGGGATTCTAGGTTTGAATTTTCATTCTGCCACATACAAAAGGAATACCCCAGGAAAATTACCCACCTTTTTTGAGCTTCTATTTTCTCACTTATAAAATGGGTATGGTAATTCTTTCATAGGATTTTTATTTTTTATTTTTAATGTATGCTCTACACCCAGTGTGGGGCTCACACTCACAACCCTGAGATCAAGGGTCACACGCTCTTCCAACTGAGCCAGCCAGGATTGTGAGTTTAAAAAATATGGACCTGAAGCAGTTTGTAAACATGAAATAAGTTAGCCAAAATTGCCTATTATATACTAATTCTTTACATTTATTTAAAAAAAATTTTTAGGTCATTTTGGTTTTGTCGAAGACAACTTTTGTGACATGCAGCTAGCAAACCATGACCTCCCAAGATCTGCCTCCCAACCCTTAGGGGTAAGCTCTCAGAAGCCACATTTGTACAGATGATCCTGGCCCACCGCTGTGTGGTTCTCTCACTTGTCTGGCACAGTTAATATGTAACACCTGGGGCTACAGGGTAGCTGACAAGAAAAGCAGAAGCTGTTAGAATGATGTGGATTTACAGATGATACACAATGCCAGTTTAGTTCCTGGGTCCAATCTCATCCTGCCTTTGGGAGTCTATGAGACGGCTCTGGATCTTTTTTTTTGTCTAAATTAGTACTAGTATGCTTATTATTTGTAACTAGGCTTTGTTTTCCAACTAATTTTCTTTGATTCTCACAATATCCCCATAAAACAGACAATAGAGCATGATGGAATGAACACATGGAATTAGACAAGCATGACCCTGCCACAAACTCTAATTTTTGAGTGAGTTAATCATCCATGAACCTGTTTTCTCATTTATAAAATAGAATAGCAATGTTTACTTTTAGGGCTGCTTATAAGATACAGATAATATAAGGCATCTGGCAAGAAGCACTCAGCAAGTTAGAGCTCCTATTAGTATCCCCATTTTACAAAAGAAAAGCCCATAAAAAACTATGGCTAATATTGAGATTTTTTCCCACTACACCACACTGGGAATAAAAACAGGAAAATCCACTGTTTTAACACACAAGAATGAAAACAACAGTGAGAAACTGGAGACTCTCAAGTGCTCTAACTCTCAGTGATTAAGTACATTGACTTGGCACAAATAGCTTAATGACAGCTTTGCTAATAACCATTCAACTACCTTTGCTCGGACTCTACACTAACTTACTCCCCAGATAGATTCCTCCCCCTTGGGAAGAGAATAATATATTGCCAACTGATGGGAACATTCTACTCTGCTCATCAGTTCTACTGTTCTTTTGGTTTTGTAAAATGAATTATTTTCTCCAAGGTGTACCACATACCAGAAAACTAACAAAAAACAAATTGGGTACTTTGCACTAGACCCTTAGAAGACACCAATCCACAAACCCCACTCAGCTAGGGCCTACAGTATAGCCCTTTCCTGAGCTTGTGAATTTGCCACAGGTCCATTGTCCTTTATGACCTAGAGTGCTCACCTATACCCCTTCCTTGAAACTATACACGTCTAGATCAACTGTCCCAACCTTGTCTGCATGTCTCAGACTGTGTTGCATAATCATCAGGGATGGGGGTAAGGATAGGACTTTAAAAATTACTGATGCCCAGGACACAACCAAAGTGATTAAATCATAATCTCTACGGGGTGCAATGTAGGCATTAGTTTTTACTCTGCTTAGTGATTCCAGTGTGTCAGATGGACAGTGGCATTCAGTAGCAAACCCAAGATTAACACAAACTGAAAAACAGTATGGCCCAAGTGTAATTTTTTTGACCTACATTTAAGAATATTGTGAATTACCAACATCTCAAAATTGAGAATTCACATGTTTATTTCCCATGCTCCTCTCAGAGCCCACTTAGCCCACAGTAGTCTATTAAAATATTTACCTGACTCTTGTAGATATGATTTTGAGATTCCTGTCTTACTTGACACCCCTGGATTACTGTAATAAAGTTGTGCTTTTGGTATTGTCAGAGCTGCTACATATCAATGTGTGATTGATTTATATACTAATTGGCTCCAACTCTGAAAATGGCCCTAAACAAGCGTATCTGTGGTTTAATCATAGTCTGAAAACTGCTTTTCAAAAAAAACTCATTTTTCCCAACCTGCTGCCTAGAGAAAAGACCAACAGTTGCCTTAAACACTGATTTAATTCCACAATAAGCAAAAAATTAAAACTCAGAAGTTGTCTGTTTACTCCTACAATAGGCACTATTTATTTCCAAGTTGAGCATTTCCAGGTTAGCGATTTCATCTTGGGAGATTAAGCAGCAGATCCCTTAAAATGAACCAGAAATACACCAACTTTATCCCCAAAGAAACCTGACAAAATCTGAGGGGCCCACACTTTTTCCTGTTCCTGAAGGAGTGAAGATTTCCCCATAATGCTCACTACTTATCTTTTTAAAGCCCCATATGCCATCCAGTTCCAAGAAATGCTGAGAACAAGTAGACTTCAGTTGTTTGTACATTTTCAGTTATCACTTACAAAACAAATTCTGTAACACGTTCTAGTAGGCTATCCAAAACTCTTTATATTAAAAATTCACTTGAACAAATAACTAGACCAATTAAGTGCAAATTGCTTGGCCACTATTATCAAATCAAGTAATGCTGAACCCTTTACCCTCAACTATCACATGGGATAGTCTTCCCATGAGTCCTGTCCTAATCAGCAAGGTGGGAAGGGCTATTCTTCTCTCATAGCTGGTTTCATTTGACTGGGCAAAACAAAGAGCCACATTTGTTGAAACTGCATCAACAAATTAAAGATCAGAGATAGTACATTAACCTTCCTCAAACAGCAGTGACAGGCATTTATATAGTCTTTTATGCGGTTTCAAAGTACAATGCTGTAGTTAAGAGCCACCTTTCCAGGTACTGAATGCTAGGTCATTCTGAGACTAAATTAATATACAAAGAGGTAGTACAATGTTGATTGAGTCCCAGATAGAAGGAACTGAAATCTTGGGCAAGCTACTTAACCTCACTGAGCCTTATTTTCTTCTCACAGACAGTAATAGAAATTAAAGTGCTTTGAAGATAAAAGTGATACATGAACTCTCATAAGTATAGATCCAAATAAAACCAAATTAAATTGTCTTCAAATCTGGATTTGGCTAGAATATCAATGATGGGGTCTCCCGATTTATGGGGACCTTCTCTAAGAAAAAAGTCTCCCTCCACCCCTACAAGAGATACTTAGTAGCTTTAAGAGTGAGCTAAATGGAAGCAATGTGAGGGAGTTTAAATGACTTTTAAAATAGTTTAAAAAACTGACAAAAATCTGAGCATCTAATATCACTGTTACAACCCAAAGAGCAATTTAAATTCAATGTTCAAGACAGAAATTGGAAAGCTTTCAGAAAATGCTCCGAAGGCTTCATTAACCAAGTTAATTGTTGGGGATGGTCTCATTCACAGTTCCCTGCAAAGAAACTGAACCAAATCTCATCATTTTATATTAAGTAGGAACAGTGAATAAGGCACATAATATAGGTGACTTGGGCCACCAATATATCTTTTTTTAAACTATAAAAATAAACATAAGTAACTAATGGAATAACAAAATAAAAGTTTATTTTATTAGAATTAGGAATGTTCTTTCCCTCTGGGCAACCTGAACAGTCCAGTTACAATGAAAATCTAAGAACAGTTATTTCCACACCACAGGGTGCTCTATGCACAAAATTACAGGGTTAGGAGCATTTAATCAATTTACCGATCTGATTGTCTCACCAACCCGCCCCCTCCCATCCCCCAAGTGCTCTATACCGGGATTTGTAGCTAAAAGATTTTGTTACATCAAGTCCTTTTCTCTCTTGTACTAAATTTCAGTTCCTAATCATGGCTGAACCACATTTTACACTGCAGATTCAACCATTTCAAATCAAGTCAGTCAGTCTTGGATCTGTTATATAGGTGTGTATGTATACACATGTGTATTTAATATATTTATTTAAACACACATAAAACACATACAATCTGGGTCGCAGCAAATTACACAGAATTTAGAGTTTGATGATATTATATGCTACTCAATTTTACCACTGTGTGTATCCTGAGCTTTGGATCAAAATTTTATTGAAAATCATTTAAAGTCCATCTACTGCTCAATGAATTGTTCAAATGAAGCATGCACTTTCAAAAGACAATGTAACTGCCCTCAAGAAGACAAGGAGACCCTGGTGCTTACCGTGAATAGACAAAAAAGACTTAGGTCTCTGACAAAAAGACTTAGGTAGGTGAAATAGGGAAGCTGTCATACAATATGGCTTGCCTATCACAGCTGGGGTCACTGAAGCTACTAACAATGAAAGCAATTAACTCAGGGAATTCCATCAAATATGGAGATAGCTGTTAAAAGCTTGAAGTTCAGAAAAGGCCAGTTCACCTTGATCCATACAAATTAGGGAATGCACCCACACCTGCAATACCCTTAGGTAATATGCCAACACTGAAACTAAAAAGCATCTCTAAAAAGCACTGTTCCTCCATGGGTGGGGGCTGATATGAAGTGCACACACTGTTTTTGGATACTTGTTGCAAGGGCAGCATGTAAAGAGGATTCATGACACTGAAACCTAGATACTGCAGTTAACTGGTAAGATTTTTAAAAACACCACACATACACAAAACATTTTAAGGGAGCCACATATATCTAGATAGCAACTCTGGCTGCTTTTCAAAGTTACCAGGGAAAGGAACTCATTCAAGCTTTCTGTTAAAAAAAAAAAAAATCTCCTTAGTTTTGATAAATGTCTTTTAAGATTGATGCAGTCATTTAAAATAAAGTCAAATGAATGACGGGGGAGAGGGGAGAAGAGACTATGGAAGAAGCAGACACTGAGTTCAGATTTGCACCTGAGGTGGCAAGGGAGGAGAGGATAAAAGGTATGGGTGAAGTTGATCCTAAAGCGACAAGTGGTTTAAGGAAGCAGCATAATATACTCAGCAAACATTCACTGATTTTTGATGGGAAAAGAACAGTTGCAAGTACATCTCATGTAACAACCTTTTTCTAAAAGGAAAAGTAGGGTTGATTCAGCAAAGCCTAACTTAGGCAAAAGGCCAGAGGAAAGTGAACCTACTTCCCAATGGAGTAATAAGATGTACAATGCAAGAGCAGACAAAGCTGCCTCACAAATGGTAAACACTCCCTAGGCGCAAGACATTTAAAGGAAGACAAAGAGGTCACGAAAACTGGTATTTAATATTAAGACCTCTTGATCTAGTTGCCTAGCTCACTATGCACTCCTGTATAAAACTGACAGATTTAGGGATGCTGACCTGTTGAAAAATACCACAGCCAGAATGGCCTAAACAGGTATATAGTTAATAAAACCACCACCATCCTTTACTTTTAACATAGCTCTTAGTAGAAATTTCATAAAAATGGACATCACAGCTAAAATGCATTATTAATTCTCCTATCTGCTGACAGTAGAAAAGAAGCAAACTCAGTGATTTCTATTTAAATGCACTAGATGGGAATATTATGTTCTAGGGGTGTTTGCCTTCAAACTGAACCCACAGCAACACACACAAGCAATTTCAGTATCTGCCATTTTAAATTCACAATCTGAAACTAAGTGAATGGCTATTTATTTATATTTATATTTAAAGCAAAAACATTCTATTTGACACCCTAATGTAAAGAAGGGGTGAGAGAAGAGCCATAACTAAAATCTTAAAAGGCTCAAAAGCAGCAATTAAGGGGGGAAAAAAAGAAAGAAAAAAGTTGAAATGTCTCCTCTGGATGTGACAGGGAGCATAGGAAGCCTTCAGGTATGTGCATGACACGGGTGCACAAAGGCTTAGGTAGATGAATGAGGCCATGGGAGGGGGGGAGGTTGGGGACTGGGTCATTCCTGAACGACAGCAAAAAGCTCCCTCTTGCGGCCCTTATCAGGCCATGGCATTTAGTCAGAGCTTGACCTCCCTGTCCCTGATCAAGAGCTGGAATTCAAGGCATGAGGCCCATGGCCAGCAACGGACATATCAAAACGAGAAAGGGCAAAGTAATCTCAGGAAAGGAAAATCACAGAGCTCTAGTTAGGTCTTCCAGAGGTGCTAAACCAACACACCTTTATCCCAACCCTCAACCCTGGAAAGATAAAGCAAACTGAAAGAAAATGCACAGCAAATAGACATAATCTTGAAGATTTTTAAAGAATAAATATTTTTTGTAATTAAACATTATGCAAACACGTGCCACGCTTGCTTTGTCCATGCATATGCGCTATATACAATTTTGAAAAATACTGTGTTGTCTTCTTGTTTTAAAAGTCATATACAAAGTTTTTTGTTTTTTTGTTTAATTCCTCTTGCTGCCTACCCCTTTCCCCGCCCCAAGAATTTTCTTTACAAGGAACTAATTCACTAATTCACTCATGACCTTGGGGTATGAGAGAAAGAGAGTCAGTCTGTGTGTGTGGGTGTATCTGTATGTGTAGGGGAGGAAGGGGAAGAAGTTCTTTACCAAAGTACAACAAAATGGCTGGTTTGGACATGAAAAGCAGTGTCAAGGAGCAGTTTTAAATTTTAACTGTACTATACTCAGGAAAAAGAAAAAGAAAAAAAGGAGTCAGCTTTGAGAATGAAGCTACGTTACAAGTTAAAGTTGGAGGGCTTTTAGTGTGTCTGTCACACTTTTGTTGGCGGCCTAGAATACTGTTGTACAATGGTTTATCTACCTTTTTTTATTACAATATAATTTACTTAAACTTTCCGTTAACAAAACAGAATTCTGGTACTACAGACCAGAGGTGTCAGAACAGGCTTAGTGCCTCCTTGTTTGTGTTTGTTTTGTTTTGTTTTAATTGCATGAGCACTCTAGATGGTAAAGTTTTCAGAGTTCATTTTATGCAGGGCCATTCTCAGTCCTCAATGTACTCCCACAGATCTTTTTCATAGCCTTCATGCACATGCTGTAACAAAACCCTTCGTCGACTCTCACAGTATCTGCAATCAAAGAAAAAAAAAAACACTTGTCAGCCTCCAATAATAAAAAAAGAGGCATTTACTTAATTTTAAAGGCACTCGTACAGTTTATCCAGACCTGGAAGAAGCATTTGTTTTTTTTTTAACAGGCACATTTCAGGTCTAGATGTACACAGCTAAAAACAAACCATTTTCCGATTTTAAAAAGGTATTCTTCAAAAGTTGTGATTCCCAGTTTTGAGAATTAATTCTAGAGTAATAAATTGTAAGAAATTCCTAAGTCCCTTAGAAAGCATTTGATTCAATTCTGTCATTCTACAGATAATAGTTTCAGAAAGAAATAATTTCAAGGGTTACTGATTCCCACCTATAAAATCTTTGTTAACTGTGAAAGTGACTATAAACACAATGTAGTAACTATAGCTGACTAAGGGAAGTGAAAATATTACTTGGAACTAAATCTCCAAGTCTTCCAAATGTCCAAATTTTCCTACTACTATTAAAAAGATATTAGTATATATACTTTGGGGAAAACAGCAGCTCCATGTTGAGAAAGCAAACATTTTGCATCTTTAGCTTAAGAGGCAGCACATTTTGAAGTATCCTCTACCCCTAGGACAAAGTAATCCTCTCCTTAGAAAAAACAAATCTAATAAAAACTCTAAAAAAGCTTGGTTAGCTCACTTGTCGACAGCCATGAACCCCAGAATCCCCAGGCTACAACCAGCACCCTAATGTCATCCCTCCTCATAATAACCACTTGCCCTTTCTTAGGTTCTTTCTTCCTCACAATGTGGCAACTAAGTAGATAAAGCTGAATGGAAGATGCAGAACCTGCCAATGGGATAAATACTTGACTAGCACTACTATCTGCAATTCGTTGCCCAAAAGACAGAAGCAATCTGTGGGAAACATGGTAGCAACACAGTTACTGAATATGCTAAATCCAAGTTTCACAATCATCTAACTTCGCCACTAAGGAAGGCATAGGGTCAGAAACTTTTGCTCAACAACTGGTAAAGAAATCTCACCTGTACTTATCTTGTACTTTTTGCTTTATATCCTGCAGAGAATCTTGGGAAATATCTCGTTCAAGGTAGCCCGAAAGCACCTCTGTGGCATTCTCTAGATCTGCTTGGTTATTCTGCAAGAAATGAGGAAAAATACATAGTAAATTTTGGCTTAGATGAAAGCTAAAAGATATACCATCTGCTTCTTTGCCAATAGACTGTTCTCAACACTGACTGTGTAATTTTCACAGGTGGTTTCTGCACCTGTAAGCTCTTTAATCGCTTTCACCTCTAACAACTTGTTCTCTTTTCCAGGATAATTTTTTATGTTAAAAGAACAAAAGATTTACCCATTACCACTGGAAGAATATCAAGAAAAAGTCCTGAAAGTGATTAGGAAAAGTCTTTTTGGAATATTCTAGTTCTGCAAACTGCTATCTGCTGAAACACAAAGAGAGGGGAAACTTGAGGAAAAAATATAAACCCATTCCTGTTTACAGCTGGCTGCACCTACTTCTTCTAAGAGAACAATGCATGTAAGATTAAAATTGTTATCCTTTACTACTATGGCTAGTTCTATACATTTACCCATTTAATTCCCATCTGCTAGTCAGGGTTACTGTCTAGTCATCTGTGGACATCAGTGTTTTATGCATCAATTTTTAATACGCAGTTTACGTTAGTTTCAGGTGTACAATATAGTGATTCAACAATTCTTTATTCAGTGCTCATCACAGTAAGTGTAGTCACCATCTGTCACCAAAAAACGTTAATGCCATCTTATTGACTAAATTCCCAATGCTATACTTTTCATCTCTGTGATTAATTTATTTTGTGAGTGGAAGTTTATACCTCTTAATCCCCATCATCTATCTCAACCATCCAGCCACCCACCTCTCCTCTGGCAACCACCAGTTTGTTCTCTGTATTTAAGAATGCCTTTTTTCCTCCTTTTTTTTTTTGTTTGATCATTTATTTTTGTTTTATAAATTCCACATGAGTGAAATCAATTTACTTATTAGAATTACACTCTCTAGGTCCATTCATGTTGCTGCAAATGGCAAGATCTCATTCTTTTTTATTATACATTAATTTTAATTTTTTTAAAAGACTTTATTTATTTGAGAATGAGCAAGAGAGAGTGAGAGAGCACAGCAGGGGGAGCGAAAGAATCAGGCTCCCCACTGAGCAGGGAGCTCGACGCAGGGTTCGGTCCCAGGACCCTGGGAACATGACCTGAGCCAAAGGCAGATGCTTAACCAACTGAGCCACCCAGGCACCCCTATGTATCAATTTTAAATGAGCATGTCTACTCGAAAAACCTTTACTGCTAAAAGCCCCCATTAGTCATTACTCTTCCACCGAAGGTGACCACCATATTAACTTCTAATACCATATATTAGTTTTGCCTGAATAAAGGCTTTTACTGAGAACTTATGATGTGCCAGGTGCTATATAAGCAATATACATGTATTGTCTCACTTAAACCTTGTTAACATCCTTGAGAAGTATTTATTCCATTTTAAAATAAAGATATAGATAACATTAAGTAATTTGCTGCAAGTCAACAGAGCTAAAAAGTGATTAAGTCAAGTTTCAAATTCAGGGCTGACTCCAGAGCCTGCACACTTAATCACTAGCTGGCTAAACCACATCAACTTGAATGTAGTTTAGGACAAGAAATCTAAATTCTGAGCAAATAGGAACCTTTAAAACTCTATCTTATCTATGAAAGACCAAGTAGACCTATGACACAGGGATATTTTCCCCCACTCAGTAACTATTCCTACCTCAAAGATAATGGACTGGTTATTCTTTTTGAGGTAGAAAGCGAAGACATAAGTGTACATGAGTGTGGCACGACACTGGCAGAGGACATCAACTGCTTTCTTCAGGAATTGCACCTCAATCCAGGACATGTTGTGCTGTTGCATCTCCTCCATTTTCTGCTTTACCTGAGCATAGAGTTTGTGCTCAAAGCGTAGACTCTGCATGTGGTTCATATAGCGATTACAGTAGAACAGGTACCTCTGTAGGGCTGCCCTAGATCGCTGTCCCATTAAGAAAAATTATGGACATGTAATTATAACAAATGTATCAAATACACACAAAAGCTGATACCATATTTACAGATGAAACAGTATAGGAATTTAAGGTAAACTCAGGAATAAACAGATATCTCTTACCACCTTTTGTTATTTAATACTGCTATGAATATCCTATAGCTGCACTTCCCAATATGGCAGCCACTGGACACCTGTGGCTATTTAAACTAAAATAAAAAATTCAGTTCCCCAGTGCTCAATAACCATTTGTTGTCAGTGGCCTTATAAAGAACATTTCCATCACAGTTACACTGGATAACACTGTTCTGCAGTATGCAATAAGTAAACAAGTAAGAAGCATCAACATTTTAAAGTAGAAAACAACAGTGACAGCCAGACATCATCTAACTCCTCATATAATACCAAAGAAAGTCTACAGTATCAACAGGTAGGTGCCCCTCTCACTCCCCAACTGAGTTTGAATTTTGAGTATCTAGAATTAACCACCAGTTTCAGGAAATACAGGGATAAAAGAACCTATTAAATGATACCAGGGAGTTACAATCAGCAAAATCCAGAATGTGAAAATTTTACAGGACAAAATGACTTAGTTTCCTCAACAAATAACTGGCAACGTGGAGGGGAAAAAGGAACGGTAGAGACCTATAGATTAGAGAATACTCAAAAGATATCAATCAAATCCAATTTGTGGACCTGTGTGGATCCTGATTTGAACCAACTATAAAAGAAAATTTATGAGATAAATGGAGACATTTGAACACTGGATAATGATATTAACAAAGTATTGCTTTAAAAAAAAATATATATAGGGGGCGCCTGGGTGGCTCAGTTGGTTAGGCGACTGCCTTCGGCTCGGGTCATGATCCTGGAGTCCCGGGATCGAGTCCCACATCGGGCTCCCTGCTCGGCGGGGAGTCTGCTTCTCCCTCTGACCCTCCTCCCTCTCATGCTCTCTGTCTTTCATTCTCTCTCTCTCAAATAAATAAATAAAATCTTTAAAAAAAAAAATTTAAAAACATATATACAAAGATAATAATGGTATTGCAGTTATATTAAGTTTTTTTTTTTTTAAGATTTTATTTATTTATTTGACAGAAAGAGACACAGTGAGAGAGGGAACACAAGCAGGGGGAGTGGAAGAGGAAGAAGCAGGCTTCCAGCAGGGAGCCCAATGTGGGGCTCGATCCCAGGACCCTGGGATCATGACCTGAGCCCAAGGCAGATGCTTATCAACTGAGCCACCCAGGTGCCCCAAATCTGTTTTTTTTTTTTTTTTTTAAAGATTCTATTTATTTATTTGACAGAGAGAGACACAGCGAGAGAGGGAGCACAAGCAGGGGCAGAGGGAGAGGGAGAAGCCCGATGCGGGGCTTGATCCCAGGACCCTGGGATCATGACCTGAGTTGAAGGCAGACGCTTAACCAGCTGAGCCACCTAGGCGCCCCGTATTAAAAGTGTTTTAAAGATACATGAAGTATTACCAAAGAAACAATACACCTGGTCTAGATTTGTTTTATATTATTTATCAGACTGCAAAAATAATTCACCTTGGTCTCTCACAGTATACTGTAAATCTCTAGAGATAGTCTTTTATTTATTTATTTGTTTATTTTTTAACGATTTTATTTATTTATTTGAGAGAGAGAGAGAGAAAGAGCACAAGAGGGGGGAGCGGGAGAGGGAGAAGCAGACTCCCTGCCGAGCAGGGAGCCCGATGCGGGACTCGATCCCGGGACTCCAGGATCATGACCTGAGCCGAAGGCAGTCGCTTAACCAACTGAGCCACCCAGGCGCCCCTCTAGAGATAGTTTTTTTTAAAAAGGAATATTGTTTTTTTTTGTTTTTAATTTTATTATGTTATGTTAGTCACCATACAATACATCATTGGTTTTTGATGTGGTGATCCACGATCCATTGTTTTCGTATAACACCCCATGCTCCATGCAGTATGTGCCCTCCTTAATACCCATCACTGGGCTAACCAATCCCCCCTCCCCCCTTCCCTCTAAAACTCTGTTTGTTTCTCAGAGTGCATAGTCTCTCATGGTTCATCTCTCCCTCCAATTCCCCCCCGCCATTTTTCCCTTCCTTCTCCTAATGTCCTCCATATTATTCCTTATGTTCCACAAATAAGTGAAACAAAAAGTAATACTGTTATCTCTAGTGTCTAATATGCAGAAAATGATTAATAAATGTTTGTTAAATGCAACCACTATGAAAGGGTTTCGTACCACACATACACATTTCTTTTTTAAGATTTTTTATTTAAGAGAGCGAGCAAGAGAGAGAGAGCAAGAGCAAGGTAAGGGGAAGAGGGAGAAAAAGACTCCCCACTGAGCAGAGAGCCCGATGTGGGACTCAATCCCAGGACTCTGGGATCATGACCTGAGCCAAAGGCTGATGCTTAACTAACTGAGCCACGCAAGCACCCCTACGTATTTCTTTTTACTGTCATTTCCTCTTCCTCTCCTTATGCCTCAGAGACTACAAATAGCACAGACGCTACTAGGCCCATGGTTGGGTTCCTGCTTAGAAATACTAACTCTGAACCACATAATTAGCCAATTACATGACCCAGTATCAAACAACAGTGAAATATCTAAAAAAAAAATCTATTATTACTACTCAAGAATCAGAGAGGTATCAAATCAATGCTTGTACACTGGAAAATTATGCCAATTGTATGTCATTGTTATTAGATTAAAAGCAATATTAATGTTATTAAATATGCATTAATCAAAAAATTAATGCCAATTATGTCTAAAATCTAATATGTAGAATATAATCTGCTTGGCATTTTATCTCCCCCCGAAGCATTAATATTTTCAAGTCTGTCAAATTTCCAAGATGAAATGGAAAAACTAAACTACCATATAAAATATATGATGTTAGTGGACTTTAGTAACTGATTTAATGATTCAATAATTCTAAAATAGCTTCTCACTAAAATACCTCTAAAATTCAACATGAACCCATTCCACCACTGCAAATAAGACCAACTTTTAAATCAAATGCCAGAACCTGGATTGAGAAATGCACTGAGTGATGACCTAAAAACAGTTTGGAAAAGAAGTCCAAAACAACAAACCTGACTGCTTAGAGCTTAGAGCAGGGAAAGCAAACTCTGGCCATGTGAGCCAAATCCAGCTGCTGCCTGGTTTTGTAAATAAAGTTAACTTGGAACTTTGTTCAACTTCTGTCCATAACTCTGGCATGACTACTCATCTGAGTCTATGGCTGATTTAGCATTACAAGATCAGAGGCAGAGTCGAATAGTTGTAAAGAGACCATATAGTCTGTAAAGCTGAAAATATTTACCATTTGACCCTTTACAGAAAAAGTATACTAATTCTCCTGGCCTAGAAAATAAGAAAATCCAAATGTCCACCATGATCAGCACCATGGCACAGTATGTTAAGTCAACAACTTTCTACAACACAGGTACACCTTTCCAAAGTACTCAACTACCCATCTATGTTCTTTCTGGACTGTGTGCCAACCTTCTAGTACTTTTTAAGGCTACAACTCCCCGTGAATAGTATGTCAGATTATGGGAGTAGGGAAAGTGAGGAAAGAAGAGGCCAGATGAGCATGCAATGTGTGCTCCATTCTGGGAGGAACAGCTCCCACTAAATAAACAAACAAATAAAGCCACTCATAAAGTCTTTCTCTGTACACCCACAGGATCAGAAGATTCTAGTTCAGTCCAAAAGATGCAAACCAGAAAAATAATGTGTTCTACCCTCTAGAATCTACATGTTAGAAACTGGCTTAGAAGCTATGCACAATAATCCACCCTCCCTGTGGATCTCAGAAAGAGATTCTACCAGCACCCAAATGAGGCCAAGGATAACTCATATACTTTCTCTACTGGTGAATAACATATCTGGCTAGATCTAGCTAGATTACTATTCATTCAGAAGTAAAAACTAAAAGCCTATACCATGGTAATTAGGAAAAATACAATGCGGCTTAAGAAAAAAAAGAACATTTCTCTGTAGACTATTCTCTGTAGGATAACTATTATCAGAATTAGAATAAACTTTAGAGAAATTTATGGTTTCTTCAACAGGATTTAAGAGAATCGTGACTACTTAAAACAGAAGGGGAAAGCCATAGGGAGAAAGGCTAATATTAAAACAAACAACAACAGAAAGAAATGCAATGACAAACTGAGCTAAATAAAAAAATACAAAAGTAGAATCAAGTCCAAATGGGAGGTTGGAAAAGCATGACTCTTCAGTATACAACTTTTATATTAAAACTACATGGTGTGATGCATCTCAAACTGGAGTCTAATCATACTCAATGGGAGTGGGGTAGGGGAGCCAAATGATCTGGTCTAAACAGACCATGGGATTTAAAAGTATTTTAAAATCTGATGACAACCTAAGAAAACACAAACACTCTGGGATAATCTCAATGAATTTATAATTAAGAACCAAAAGTTTTATTTCAGGTCTTACTTTGTGAAATGGCTAAAACTGGCATTAAGCAACATTAACTGTACTAAGCTAATGAGGAAAACAAGTGAAAGAGAATACATCAATGATAAATTCTGATCAAACCAAATCATGATGCACTATAGGAATAAAGGTTTACAATAGCTGAGATCTAAAAAGTCGGTGGGAAAACAAGTTGCCACATGGCACTTAGTAGCATAGTACCATTCAATTTAAAAAAACTTGGGCCATCCAGCAGTTTATCAACAGTTATTTTATTTCAACAAACAATTTACCTGTCAAATTAATTTTAACTTGAGTCTCAAAGGTTTCGTAGTTTTCTTGGTTTGGTTGTGTAGTTGTATATGAGCATAGACGTTTATAGCTGGTTTTATGTTGAAACATTTAAGTAATTTTATAGTGAATATAATTTAAATCAACACTGGAATTTGTGGGCATTTTTTTCCCTTTAAAAGGAACACAGATATTGTGAGAATCTGTGAAACACCATTCATCATTTATAAATACAAAATATTATTTTCCAGCTTTTTAAAAAAATGAGACACAGAACTCTCACTTCTAACAATATGATAGACTAGGCTGTATATATTCTTTTGTATTTATGGTCTTTTCAATTAGAAATCAATTTTAAAGGAACATTTAAAAAGTAAAAAAATAAGCAGCAGATGTTTTGAATGTCATCCTAGTAAGGAAAACCATTTGAAAAGAACATTTTTGGGACAACCAGGGAATTTCAATATGGAATAGACTAATGTAAGGAATAATTAAATTCCAGGATTCTACAATTATGACAGAATTACTAAGCTGAAAGGAACTCAAAGTGTTGATGAAGATAATTCACACCTAGTGTTTGAATCCATCTACAACAGTGAGTTATATCCCTAACTAGTAACAGGGAACTCTCCCCTCCTGAGGCAGTCCATTCTAAATCAGCTCATCTATAATCCTTACCACTTCTTGATGAATAATGAGATTAAAAAAAAAAAAAAAAAGAATGTATATAAACAGCAGCAAAACTATTTAACAAATACTGTGCTACATGACTAGATTAATTAAAAGAAAGCAAACAAATCTATAAACAGGAGTGCTACTGATAGGCATTTTGGATAAGATTCCCTTTCTAAATGTACAGATACCCAGTATTTACTGGGGTGTCTTTCCACAACTCTTTCAGAATTGAAAACTTCTGCTGAATTATTCCCTAATAAACACGTAAGCACATTCTTGTTCAACTGTCACCTGAAAATAAACGTACTTACCTCCTGTGCATCTCTTGCTGCCTTTGCGTCATCCTCATTATAGCGGTTACAGTTGTACCTTAAAGTAAATTAAGAGGATTCTGTAAGGCCAAAAATCAATGAAAAGGGAACAAATCACAGAAGTTTGGCCTGGATTCAGAGATTATCTAGAAGCAATATTCTTCTTTATACAGGTAAACTGAGGTATTTAAAATGCCCAGGGTTCTACCTTTATGACAGAATTACAAGACTGAAAGGAAATCGAAGTGTTGTTGGATTCCCCACCTCCTGAAGTAGTTCATTCCAAATCAGCTCACTTGTAATCATTAGAAAACACTGTCATTCTAGAATTTCCATTCCTGACTGCAGTGTGAACTTTAAAAAAAAAAAAAAATTTATTTATTAATTTGAGAGAGATAAAGAATGAGTGGTGGGGAGGGGCAGAGGGAGAGAAAGAGAAGCAGATTCCCCGCTGAGCAGGGAGCCCAATGCGGGGCTCAATTTCAGGACCCTGAGACCATGACCTGAGCCAAAGGCAGACGCTTAACAACTGAGCCACTCAGGCGCCCCTGCAGTTTGAACTTCTAACTCAGTTTTTGAAGAAAGAGGTCTTATTTCCTAGGTTGTCTGTTATTTAAACCAAATATTTCCAATTTTTCCAGTTACTCACCTTCTTATCTTTATAAATCAAAGAGAACCAACAGTTGATGGACTACTATGTAACAGTTGCTGTGCTATATGCTTTACATGCTATTATAGTTTCAAGAGTCACTGAAAACTGAATGACACACAAAATGAGAAGCAGGGGAAACGTGCCCAGAAGTCAGCTCAGAGTAGAGATGAACAAGACTGGCATTTCCCTTGTTCTGATTAACTCTACCTCTGCTTTTCTGGGAGTCTACATTATGGGAGCAGCTGATACTTGAGTGCTTACTGCATATCACCCACTCACTACTAAAGTCTTTAAATGTACTATCAGATTCAATTCCCTGAACCACCTTATGAAATGTGTATTATTATCCTCATTGAGCAGACAAAGAATTAAGTTTTGAGAAGACAAGTAACATACTTAAGGGTCATATAACTAGGGTTTCAGAGCTAAAAATGCTGGTCTCCCAACTGAGGGCCATGCCCTTAATTATGGACTATATTGTTCACATGCTGTAAGTCATGTCTTCAGAATCTTTTTAACAGTAATCCTTTTAGATCTAAAGGAAGAATTCTGAATTTCATTTAAATCTTGTTAAACTGGACTCATTGTTCCAGCTTGTCAAGTTTTCCAGGATTTTAATGTCTATAAATTTAATATTCTTCTATGATGTTATCCCAAAATGTATGCATGATTCTCTAACTAGTGAAAGAAAGTCGTCAGTAAAACTGACCAGAAAAGCAATAGATAGTTTACGTGAATAAAAAAGGTAAGGACAAAATCTTTCAGCAAACCTTGGAAGTATTCCTTTAGGAAGACTCAAATCCATTTCCTGTAACTCCAAGAAATGGACATTCAATTAATCCCAAGTATCTCTGCGTGTATTCATAGCCTAGGCCACAAACTTCTCAGCTCACACTGAAATACCTTGCTGAGGTCTACAAAACACTCCCTAATCCATCATCCTAATAATACCATTTGATTTGGGGATTTGACATAAGAGAAAAGTTACGTGGTTTATATGTAGTTTGTGGAATCAATCACAAATCTTGGAAATTTGGGATTACATTTTGTCTGCTTTCAGTTTGTGGTAGCTTTCTATTTTCCTTAACTACTCAGTAAAATAACCAACAATAGCTTACTGATCTCATCTTTCAGTTTTTAAAGTAACCCAGACCACAATTCACTCGAGTCAGGAGATTTATTAACTTTCCCCCCAGCTTGGGTTATAATCCTCTCTTACCAAAAATTACTTAATTTAGCCCAAAGATCGGCTCTTCTTGCCCTCTACTGGTCAACTATTAATACCTCTTCTTCTTATCGAACATATCCTTAAAAATGTTCCTTTTGATATTTTTAAGGTATTTATAAGCCTCAACTCATTCTGGACTTTACTCAGCCAAAATTATTAAGGAACTGAAGGCCAGAAAAGCAAAGAGAATTCATCTATACTTCTAATTCAGATGCTGGACAGTGCTACTTGAAATGCTATTTTGAGAATTCTGGGGCATTTTCAGATTTAAATAAGGAAGCATAGAATGATTCATTTGCAATGTTAGCTATGGGTAAAGGCAAGACACAGGAAACATTTCTGACAACCCTGGTCCAGGCCATTCTTCATTCTCCTGTATCCATCATTTGTTTTGTTTTTGTTCAGTTTTTTTTTTTTTTTTTAAAGATTTTATTTATTCATTTGACAGAAAGAGAGAGAAAGCACAAGCAGGGGGAGTGGAAGAGGGAGAAGCAGGCTCCCCACAAAGCAGGGAGCCCAATGTGGGGCTCAATCCTGGACCCTGGGATCATGACCTGAGCTGAAGGCAGATGCTTAACTGACTGAGCCTCCCAGGCACCCCTCTGTTCAGTTTTCAATATAGCTTCTTTAAAATTTGAGTTATGATCAGAGATTTCCTTACATACAAAAAATGTATCTTTGGGACGCCCAGGTGGCTCAGTCGATTGAGCATCTGCCTTCGGCTCAGGTCATGATCTCAGGGTCCTGGGATCGAGTCCCGCATAGGCTCCTTGCTCAGCAGGGAGAAGCCTGCTTCTCCCTCTGCCTGCCGCTTCCCCTGCTTGTGCTCTCTCTCTCTGATAAATAAAAATCTTTTTAAAAAAAGGCATCTTTAACAAGAAATGTATTTTTTTAATAACTCTTCTTCTCTATTCATTAGGCTTATTGGTTTAAATATACTAGAGTGAATTTAGTTTCTGGGAATAGTCTAATCCCCCAGTTTGCTTCTTAAAATCTAGAGTACCTGTCTGGCTAACCCCCAATATCGTTCTTGGCTTTGACAGTGGTAAAATCACTTTCTTTACTTCCACACAACCAACTAGTTTTACCTAAGTCAGAATTAATTTCAGGCCAAGTAATCCCTCTCACTATTCCTCTAATGAAACTAATAAAAGTTCCAATGAAACTAAAAGAAAAGACTTGCCATTGTCTTAAGGTGAGATCTTCCTCCTGTCCTGCCCCTGCAATTTCTTCCCCTCCCATTCACTCTCTACAAAGCAGCCACAATTCTGAGGTAATGTATGTAAAGCACATAATATAGAGCCATCTCATCTAAATTACAGATCTAATCAGGTCACTCCCCACTTAAAATCCTTCTGATAATGTCCAAACTACTTTAGGTCCCAGTCTACTTTGTAACTCTTTTCCTATGCCCCACAACTTAGGAGGGGCCACAAACTGAAATGCCAATAAGCAGGAAACACAAATTAGTGAAATGGGTCATCTGTGTATTAAAACACTCAGAAATATTTTCATTTTTATCAGGAGATGTGCTAGCTCCCTTTTTTCTCAAAACTCAAGACATCACGAATCTAACTTACATTTTCCCAAACTGCTATGAAATATGGACAGAAGAGAGATATATATTATCTCTATTAAAAGTGATGCCATCTTTTAAATACATAGTGCTATCATGATATATGCAAATACCCTTAAGATTCAGTCTTGGGGAAATATTTCAAACTAGAAAGTAAAGGCCTCATCTAAGGGGCTACTAATCAATTCCAGGCAAATGCTGCCAAGCATGAATGCAGGCTTGTTCCTATGTTTCAAAGAAAGGCTAAAAATCTGGATTGCAGTGCGCAATTTTCCAATTTTTAAAGTTTGGGACACATTTTTGTCTAATAGCATACGAGGGTAAATAAAACACAACTGCAGTTTGGGTCTTGCCAATAATCTTTTAGTTTTCAACTATTGCCTAGACAGACATATTAGACAATCCAACTCTTCTCTAAATAAGTCATGTACTTTCACATCATTCTACCTTTGTTCACGAGGCTCCTTTTGCCCTGAACATTTTTCCTACCACTTTCAACTAATGAACTCTTAATCCCCCTTAAAATTCTCAAGTATTACCTGCTCTGTGAAATATGCCTCATTTATCCCTGTCTCTGGACATCTTGCATATACTTTTAATAATGATCACACACTATATTCATTTATCTAGCTCCCAAGTTAGATGGTGACTTCCATGAGGTAGAAACATTTGTTAATACACAGCATATATTACATACTTATGTGAACATTTTCTCCCCTTCATTTCCCCAACCTACCAGGCAGATCCATGTGGTTCCCAAGGGCCAAGACACACCCAGCAAAACTCTGCTTTACAGTTCTGGTTACGACAGACCATGTGATTACAACCGCCATCCTTCTCAATTGTGACATGGCATTTGGGACATTCCTATGAAGAGAAACTACAAAGTTGGTGTCAATGCTACACTAGGTTGTATTACTACCACCGAAGAGAAGCCAGTTCTAGATTTGGTTTATTTTTAAATACATTTATTGTTATGAATACACGTAAAGAAAGCACTCCAAACAGTGTGCAATACAGTAAGTACTACTAGAAAAGCTATTACCATTATTACTGGCTATTAAGATATACAACAATTAAAAGATTTGTTTTAGCGGGGTTGGGGACAAAAACATGAAGTACTTTTAACCATACATGTAGTTTTACAGGAGGTAAAACATTTTGTTCATGTAAATATAATTAACTGTCCAGTGTCACCTAGAAATAATTATTGAGTACTTCCTGTATACCACACACTGTTCTCGGTGTTTTATATGCATTAACTCATAATCCTTAGAGTGATCCTATTTTCATTTGTCAGATGAATAAACTAAGGGAGAGAAAAATAATAAAAACACTGGTCTGAGGTCACACAGGTAGCAAACGGTAGAGTCAGGATTCAAGCCCAAGCAATTTGGCCTTAAGAATCAGGCAAGTAGGACTGGTAAGATAGGTAAATTCTTCTTGTGGCTACTGAATTTCCCAACTTTCTTCTGTCAAATACCCTTGTTTTATTTATTTTTGTTGTTGTTGTAGTTTTTAAGTAAACTCTACCCTCAACATGGGGCTTAAACTCACAACCCTGAAATCAAGAGTCACATGCTCTACTAACTGAGCCAGGCAGGCACCCTCAAATACCCTTGCTTTAAGTCTTTCTCATTGTGGTCCATTTATAACTGTGCTACAGAGATCACAGCTTTTCCCAAGTCTGTGTCATATTCTTGGTTACTAACGAGCCAAAGTTATTACCCTACAGCAGGTCTATTGTTATTTTTCTTTTGGAAAATCAAGAAAATCAAACTTATTCATTTTAATGAAACTATAAATAAGATGTAAAGCTTATATTTTTGCTGCATTTGTTTGATGCCTGTAACTCCCACAAGGGGGGAGTATCACCCATTATATTACTTACAAAATTCTGCCTTTGTGAAACAGACTACCCTGGCCCATAAACTATAGTCATTTTAAATAGGGAAATGTGGCCATTTCTAATTATACATTTGAAATCAAATCTCTGAAATCAACTAAGATATTTTACATTTTCCCAAAGAAGCAAATTCCAGGTCTAAAATATGTTTCATTCTATATTTCTGGGTTATAATTAACGAAATAGTATCAAGCTCTCAATATGTTAGGATACCACTGATAATCTGCAAAGCTGTTTAAGGAGCAAATAACAATAATAAAGGCTTCTGAAGCCTCTCAAGAGAAAAACTTTTTGGTTTTTCTCAAAACTACCAAGCAGATAACTTTGTTATTACTAATTGCCATTCTTCCTTAATAATCTACTTTCTAAACAAAGTGAAACATATTCAAGCCTATACTCCCTGTTTTATTTTTTTTTATTTTAAAGATTTATTTATTTTAGAGTGTGTGTGTAGGAGCAGGGGGAGGGGGGTAGGGGAGAAGAAGAAGACTCCCCACTGAGCTAGGAGCCCAATGCAAGGTGGGGCTCTATCCCAGGACCCTGAGGATCATGGCCTGAGCCAAAACCAAGATCCGATGCTTCCGATGCTTAACCAACTAAGCTACCCAGGCGCCCTGTACTCCCTATTTTATTTTATTTTATTTTATTTATTTATTTTTTAAAAAAAGATTTTATTTATTTATTTGACAGAGAGAGACACAGCGAGAGAGAGAACACAAGCAGGGGGAGTGGGAGAGGGAGAAGCAGGCTTCCCGCAGAATAGGGAGCCCGATGCGGGGCTTGATCCCAGAACCCTGGGATGACCTGAGCCAAAGGCAGACGCTTAACGACTGAGCCACCCAGGCGCCCCCTGTACTCCCTATTTTAAACATCTTGGGGGTTTATAGTATTTGGGGGATTTCTCTAGATGCAGAAAGAGGGCTACAGTTTAATCAAACTACTTAGTAAAAATACAAGTGCCCTATTCTAATTATGAGTTTTACAGAGCATACTAAAAGATTCTAGGTAAAGCCCTATCTGATGGAAAATCAATTTTCAAGAAAATATGCCTGGCTGGGAAATTTTTTCAACAACAAAGTAACAACTTCCTAACAATACAGAAAGGTTTTCTTAAGTGACATGAGTTACTTTTACCATGATAATTTTAGAGAGCACAAAAATACTGATTTCAACCATACATTCCTCAAAGGCATAGGCATTTGTTTAATGTGACAAGACTATTTCACTACTAAGGCTTTCTGGGACATAAAAATATATTCACGTTTTAATCTTTTGGGGTACAACAGGGTACTAATGATATAAAATTGTGTGTTTTGGCCTCCATTGTATAAATACTCTTTTTTATCACTGTCCTGTGACTGGCTCTAACACTAGTCAAACAACTCGGTATTCTTTAAGCATCATCTTCACATGTGAAAGGCAATACTAAAAATGAATAGTCCATGAATAACACTACCATTCATCACCCTAGTCACTTCCAATACAGATGGGATATAAGGTTGAATTAAAGATTGGTTATTTATACAATTTTCTACTAAGAAATTGCTGGGTACCCAGTTGGGACTCAAATATATGCTTATTACTTTGTGACAGAAAAGAAGGGTGCTCAAGACTACATCCATCTGCAGAACAAAACATCTGTCTAGGTTTAAAGCAGTGGTCCACGGTCATAAGGAGACTGAATCTTAAAACTAGTATCATAAGCAGTAATGTACTTCAAAAATAAAAACAAAAGAACAAGGGATATCTATATTACCCTCAAAACTTCCAGTTCTTAGGAGTCAAGCCTCTTCAATCATTATTTTAGAAATTTAGTATGTTAAAGATGTCAAACATGTTAAGCCCAGTGCAGTTACATAACAAAAACAGTTACTCAATTCTCTTGATACTGCTCTAAAGAATGACTCCTTAAGGAGGGGCCCTTGGCTGGCTCAGTCAGTAGAGTGTGTAGCTCTTGATCCCAGGGTTGTGAGTTCAGGCTCCACACTGGGTGTAGAGATGAAAGAAAAGAAAAGAAAGGAAAAGGAGACAGGAAAAGGAAAGCAAAAAGAAAGAAAGAAGAAAAGAGTTACACCCAATGTGGGGTTCAAACTCACAACCCTGAGATCGAGAGTCTCATGTTCTACCACTGAGCCAGCCAGGTGCCCCAAACCCTGGAGATTTTTAAAGGCAGAAACGTAAAGGCAGAACAATATGAAAAAGCATTATCAAACCCCTGGGTAGAAAAATTGTTAGCTTTTTCTTCTATAGGAAACCAATGTTTTCCTAACAGACAAAATCTTCTACTAAAGAAGAGTACTGTGCATGTTGCAGTAGTGCTCAATAAAATAAACTTGGAACACTAAAAAATTGGCATTCTAGGGGGAAAAGACAAAACCAAAAACCCCAAACTCAACCAAAACCCCCAGCCCCCAAAATAACCAAAAAACCCCCAAATCTTAACTGAGAAAAGGTAAAATGAAGTCCTTAACTAGGTAAACTTATTTTGCTAATGCACCTATTCTCATAACAGTTTCACTACCAAGAGTTTACTGAAGGAAAACACCAACCTTTGTGTTGGCTGCAATCCAATTAGAGGTTTCACTATCATCATCACACTTTTTAATCCACTTCTTTAACCACTGTTTGAAAACAACAACTGTTAGGGTACAACAAAACACTTAAGAAAAGGATAGCAAATTACTTCAACATTAAAATACAGTCAAGTTTAAATGTAAAAGGCAAAGGACAAGATTATCACTGGATTTACTTCCTTTTAAACCAAGGGAATCCTGTAGTTCTCATATCCTATATATATAAAATCAACCAAAGGAAGACCTTCTCTGGCTGAAGCCAAGTGGGGAACCTAGAGCTTGATGAGAAGCCCAGCTCCAAGATGTGTCATTCCCTTTAGCTAATTACAAAGCCTGCCCAGGGAGGTGCCTTAACCACTGTTATCCTGATAATCATCAGGAAGGGACTTATTCCTAAGGAATGCTTCATGAATACTTGCGATGTTCATCTGAAATAGAAAGGAAAAACACAATCTTCTGTCTACAAATGGATAACAAAATTGTGGGCCCTGGTTTTCAGTCAAGTCTCAGAAGTGTTCTATTACATTATTTAAAAATGAAAATGCCAGACAAACTCACCTTACATTTAACAGGATCGTGCCAATTTTCTCCACAGTTAAAGCTGTTAACATAAGAGTTAAAAGAATTAAGTCCTACCCACTGTAAGTAAATAAACAAGCAAGCAAATTCATGTTTCATAGTTTCTCAGTGGTTTCATCCGTTTCTAGTAACTGGCAAATACAAGGGCATGAGCCAAGTTTACATTATTCCACAGCAGATTATTTAGAATTTAGTGTTAGGAGAGCGTGTACTGTGGTGTATGTGTGAAATAAAGAAATGATTATAGGCATGAAGACAGGCTCTGATGACAATTATATAAGAAAGGACTCTCTAAACATTCACCACACTGTTAAGATAAAAAAATTCAGTTTAATCCCATCTGTATTTTTCTGATCGTTTTATATATGTATAGTTCTGTGCTGTAAACAATCTTGAATTCACCAAATAATTTTCACTATTTTGAACTTAAATTTTGACCAGTGCTTTATTAGCAAATATTAAATCTCTTAACACCCCAAATGAAGAGTAAAAGTCTGATTTTGTAGAGTAATTATGTAATTTAATGCTAATGCACAGTGAGCAATACTCGGGAAGCAAACAGGTCACATCTTTGCATGATCCAAACAAATCAACCTCAGCCCTGTAGAGATAAATTGTACCAAGTAAAGTATAAAACATAAGAATGTGACTAAATATTTTCTAAGAATATACTAATTGTTAATTCCTTCCTGTACTCTAGGCACATGGTATATACATTTAAGAAAGTATAAATTAAGAATAAATACAAATGCTTATGAAAAAATAATTGTTGAGTGGCTATTAGCTAATCAAGTAATTCAGGAGTGCCAAAAATCCTTTGCAAATGAGAGGAACAAAGTGCTATCAATTTAAATGAAGTCAAAGATAATGTTTACTTCTGGAAAAGAAGATGGGGTGTGGGATGGAGAAGGGAACAAAGGAGCTTCAAATGAATCTGTCATGTTTTATTTCTTAACAAAAACAAAATACTGACTTTGTGTAAGCTGGGTTAATAGCTACATAAGTATTCATTGCTGTTATTCTCTGTATTTTGGTATCAACTAAAAATATGTTATAAAGTACGTATATAGGGGCGGCTGGGTGGTTCAGTCGTTAAGCGTCTGCCTTCGGCTCAGGTCATGATTCCAGGGTCCTGGGATTGAGCCCCGCATCAGGCTCCCCACTCAGCAGGAAGCCTGCTTCTCCCTCTCCCACTCCCCCTGCTTGTGTTCCCGCTCTCGCTGTGTCTCTCTCTGTCAAATAAATAAATAAAATCTTAAAAAAATAAATAAATAAAGTAGTAGTATATAATCAGACTGCACCTCCTATCTACAGAGTAAACTCTAAAATAGTAATGTATCTAAAACTCTAAAACAGTAATGTAATCTCTACCAAAATAGCATGTATTTCATACATATTTAATCTCTGTGAGTTTACCTGCTCCTTTTGGAAATATTTAGTATTAAGGACGTGTAAGTCTAATTCTATAGCTGTTTGTGGAGGAAAAAAAAAGAATGGTATGGGATACCATTATAATGTCTATTTGCCAGCTCTTAGAGCTAATTGGTTTGATTGTTTTCTTACTCCTAAAAGATCCACAAGGAAAAAATGGAAAATCATCTTAACTCTCTAATAAGAATATGTGGTATTGGAAATTCTCTATTAAGCCAAATCTAGAATTCAAAGGCTGAAGAGTATGTTATAAACTCCAAGAATAGAGGTTACCAGGAAGGCTGGGGCCAGAGGAGCCACAGGGAAAGTGTTGGTTAAAAAGCATATCTCATCAACCATGTTTTATCTCTCCAAATTTATCTGCACATTTTCTTTCTAGGAGTAAGATTAAACTTGTCAGAGCAAAGGAAAAATAATCCTGTGTATTTTATTTCCTAAGAGATAACTTGAAAACAGAGCAAGAATGATAAAGGAACCAAACATAATCTGACAAAATAAGCAGTCTGTCAGAAATAAGAACTAAGTTCTTGTCCCAGATCTGTAAGTTTGCTCCCATATTAGTTCCAGTGGAGCACACAAGAAAATGTGATTATAGCTGCATTTTCCCCCATTAGAAAAAAGAGCAACAAGGAAAGAGAAAAAATTATTTAAGATGTGGCCTTTTAATCTAATTCTTATTTAAAAGAAATATACACTATTTTAAATCAACATCACCCACCTTCCCCACTGAGGTAAAAAAAATTTTTCTACTATTTGACTACCAAGAATAAATAGAAAAGCTATGTGTACTATTTCAATTTGGGAAATCACTTGCTTACCAAAACTGGCGCCCACATTTGCAGCGAACAGGTTTAGCATCAGGATATTGGACTTTAACGACATGGTGGCAATCTGGGGCAGGACACCACTTTAACAGTCGATTGCACTGGAAACCCAAGTTAGAAAATAAAAAATGACAACAAATTAAATCATGAATGCAAGATTTCCTAGTACAACAAGCAATTAACTTACATTGCTTTCCCAGTGCAAGGGCCAAAGACAGAGATGATGACACAAGCATATAAAAGCCTGCCCCCAATATTTAGTAGTCTTCTAACGTAATGCTTTTAGATGCACTGTTTTTCTAAGATTACAGATCCCTTGAAGACCTGGTTTTATAAATATGTGAACTGTCTCCTGGTTCCACCTTCAAAATCGTACTGATAAACTTTAAAATAATTACCCATTTGTGATCATTAAGAAGCATCGATTTGGTTATGGTTCTACTTCAGGGCAATTTTCAAAGATGTAAGAAAACAACATACACTCCTACTTATGGAAGGTGTTTAGAGCTATAGAATATACATGTAAATTTCTCTCTTTGACCATAAAATGTCTTTTTTTTTTTTTAAGATTTTATTTATTCATTTGAGACACAGAGATACAGAGACAGACAGAGAGCATGAGCAGGGAGAGAGGCAGAGGGAGAGGGAGAAGCAGGCTCCTCGCTAAGCCAGGAGCCCGACGTGGGGCTCGATCCCAGCACCCTGGGATCATGACCTGAGCCGAAGGCAGACGCTTAACCGACTGAGCCACCCAGGCGCCCCCATAAAAATGTCTTCTAAGAACAAAAGTCAGTTCCTAAAACATGGCAACAATCACATTTTAGTTCTTAAAAAAAAAAAAAAAAAGTAAAGCGTTTGAGGTATTTTTATTATGAAACAAAACATGGCTCAACTAACACTCTGCACCAGAATTAAAGTTTATTGACCATTTAAAAAATATACTATTCCTAAAATACGCTGTTTTCTAGAAGATCTGACCTTCAGTTTAATCTAATAGACATAAAAACTACTTTGTAGAATTAAAATACCAATATACATTCACGATCTTATACAGAGGCTCACAAACATCTTCTATAAAGAGCCAGATAGTAAAGATTTTTGTTTGTGACAGCCACAATGGCTTCTGTAGCAATTACTCAATTCAGCCACTGTAGCACAAAAGAAGTCATAGAACAAATGGGCATGTTCTAATAAATATTTACAAAAACAGGCAGGTCAGTTTGCTGACCTCTGTATTTGATTAAAGAAAGGCATTTGATAAAAACAAGTAACTATAGGGGCACCTGGGTGGCTCAGTCAGTTAAGTGTCTGCCTTGGGCTCAGGTCATGATCCCAGAGTGCTGGGATCGAGCCCTGTGTCGGGCTACCTGCTTGGGGGGTTGGGGGCAGCCTGCTTCTCCTTCTCCCCCAGCTTGTGCTCTCCCTCTTACTCTCTCAAATAAGTAAATAAAATCTTTAAAAAAAAATAAATAACTACAGCTCTCTTTTTTAACAAAGTTTATTGGTAATGGAAGCTAAAACAAGCAGAAATATAGCAAGGTTAAACTGCCAAGCATTATTAAACATCACATCATTAATAATCAGCTACAATTTTTGCTAGCGATAAAGGAAGAATACTGAAAAAATAATTTTATCACCAAAGTTCTAGATCTATGAAGAGACATCTACTTACTGGTTTGTCACATTCCTTTGAGAATAAAGGTATTTGGTATATACCTCATGAATAAAGTCCATAATCCAAGCTTATGGTCATAATCCAAGACCTTTAGGTCTTTCTTACTATCAAAAGTATTTCGTATAAGAAAAACTAATTATATCTATTAATAAACAATTCCTCTTATTAAAAAAGGGAAAACTTAAGAGAAATCACTTACCTCTACAAAGCTATTTGTTATTAAATGCTGATACTTTAATTTAACTTTTGAATCTGTGATCAGGCGCCTGAGAGCAAGAATAAAAGTTTATTAGGAAGTTCTCAGCCAAGAGTATTTTTCCACATTTATAAAATAAAATTTCAGTGTGGTGGCTCTAAAAACTGCCCTAAATTGAAAATACTTAAATGTATATAGACTATCAACAAATATAACTATAGAAATCAAGACAACAATTTCAAAGTTTCTATAGTTTTATTTTGGTAGAACCCCCATCCCCAAGTTTCTTATACATAAAATTTTCCATTTTTACCCAGTTTGTTATTACAGTCTAATGACTTATTAACTATTGTGGAGTTTAGGCTCCTTTCAGTGTCTTCTTACTTGCCTAAGACAGCAATTTGCAGCCAACTTCCCTAAGATGCTCTCCCAAAAACCAGTGTGTGAAATCAGAGATACTGACAAGAATGTCAAGATCCACGTTTTGCTATACATAAATTTGAGGGCCTTCTTCTGAGATCTGTTGGTAATTTACCAGAAATGTTTACTGACTGCAACCTGGCTTCCCTTGTCCACCTAGAACATTCTATATATTCATAGCAATTTCTAGAACTCATAGGAATCCATGAAAGTAAAGAATCCTGAAGCTTAAGTTTTATTAGTCTTAATGGTAAACACTCCTGTGTTTAAAGAAAATGGTGTTAAAGCAGAAAAAGAGTTAACAACTAACAAAACCTGTAAAAACTATCTAAAGTGAAAACAGCAGACAATAACGTTTTGTATAATCTAGCCCCATCGACTTCTTGAGCTTCTTATTGCACTGCTTGCCTTCCACAAGACCCCATCCTGTTCTGTGCTACTTTCAGTGTACTCCTGTCACGTTTGTATTCTTTCAAAATAGTGGGTATCATCCTTCCTCAGAGGCTTTTGCATAGGGCTACCTCTCTTGAAAAAGAAAGAGAAGAATATCATGGTGGGCTCAGATGGGATAGCATACTGAATACTGGATTCACACTTACTAGCTATGTACTAGGGGTAAGTTCTTTGACCTCTCCATTTTTCAGTTTACTCATCTGTAAAATGGATAGCAGAAATAAGAGTTGTGAACTAGAACAGTGCCTGGCAAATAGTAAACACTCAATAAATATTAGATGCTGCTATATTATTCTTATTTTATTTAACTCAGCTAACATATAGTTACCAACTAAAGGAGGCCTTTTCTGACAATTACCCACACCAGTTCCTGCTCAGTTCTCATGGCATCTTATACATCTCCCTGTTAGAAAAATCTGTCATATTTTTTTTTTATTTTTAAAGATTTTTTAAAAATTTTATTTATTTGACAGAGAGAGACACAGTGAGAGAGGGAACACAAGCAGGGGGAGTGGGAGAGGGAGAAGCAGGCTCCCCGCTGAGCAGGGAGCCTGATGCAGGGCTTGATCCCAGGACCCTGGGATCATGACCTGAGCCGAAGGCAGACGCTTAATGGCTGAGCCACCCAGGCGCCCCTGTCATAATTTTAAAGTTATCTGTGTAGAGCTGGAACAAACAATCCTAAAATCTGTATGGAACCAGAAAAGACCCTGAATAGCCAAAGAAATGTTGAAAAAGAAAACCAAAGCTGGAGGCATCACAATTTCAGACTTCAAGCTGTATTATAAAGCTGCAGTGATCAAGACAGTACAGTACTGGCACAAAAACAGACACATAGATCAATGGAACAGAACAGAGGACCCAGAAATGGACCCTCAACTCTATGGCCAACTAATCTTTAACAAAGCAGGAAAGAATATCCAACAGAAAAAAGAGTCTCTTTAACATAAGGTGTTGGGAAAACTGGACAGCCACATGTAGAAGAATGAAACTGGACCACTTTCTTACACTATACACAAAAATAAACTCAAAATGGATGAAAGACCTAAATGTGAGACAGGAATCCATCAAAATCCTAGAGGAGAACACAGACAGCAATCTCTGTGACCTTGGCCACAGCAACTTCTTGCTAGACAAGTCTCCAAAGGCAAGGGAAGAAAAAGCAAAAATGAACTACTGTGGACTTCATCAGGATAAAAAGCTTTTGCACAGTAAAGGAAACAGTTGACAAGACTAAAAGGCAACCGACAGAATGGGAGAAAATATTTGCAAATGTCTTATCAGATAAAGGGCTGGTATCTAAAACTATAAAGAACTTATCAAACTCAACACCCCCAAAAAACAAAATCCAGTCAAGAAATGGACGGAAGACATGAGCAGATATTTCTCTAAAGAAGACATACAAATGGCTAACAGACACATGAAAAAATGCTAAACATCACTGAGCATCAGGGAAATACAAATCAAAACCACAATGAGATACCAGCTCACACCGGTAAGAATGGCTAAAATTAACCAGTCAGGAAAGGACAGACATTGGTGAGGATGTGGAGAAGGGGGAACCCTCTTACACTATTGGTGGGAATGCAAACTGGTGCAGCTACTCTGGAAAAAAGTACAGAAGTTTCTCAAAAAGTTAAAAATAGCCCCACATTGGGCTCCCTGCTCAGCGGGGAGTTGGCTTCTCCCTCTCCCATGCACCCTGCTTGTGCTCCCTCTCTCTCTGTGTCAAATAAATAAATAAAATCTTAAAAAAAAAAAAAGTTAAAAATAGAACTACCCTACCACCCAGCAATTGCACTACTAGTTATTTACCCAAAGGACACAAACGTTGTGATCCAAAGGGTCACCTGCACCCCAATGTTTATAGCAGCAATGTCCACAATAGCCAAACTATGGAAACAGCCCAGATAGTTGGAAACAGTCCATCGATAGTTGAATGGATAAAGATGTGGTATGTGTACGTGTGCGTATACACATACACACACACACAATGGAATACTACCCAGCCATCAAAAAAAAAAAAAAAAAGAAAAAGAAATCTTGCCATTTGCAATGACATGGATGGAACTAGAGAGTATTATGCTAAGTGAAACTAGTCAGAGAAAGACAAATACCATATGATTTCACTCATATGTGGAATTTAAGAAACAAAACAGATGAATATACAGGAAGGGAAGGAAAAATAAGATGAAAACAGAGAGGGAAGCAAACCATAAGAGACTCTTAACTATAGGAAACAAACAGGGCTGCTGGAGGGGAGCTGGATGATGGGCATTAAGGAGGACATGTGATGTAATGAGCACTAGGTGTTCTTTTTTTTTTTAAAGTGAATAAGGCAAATTTTATTTTATTTTTTTTTTGAAGATTTTTTATTTATTTATTTGAGAGACAGAGAATGAGAGAGAGCACATGAGAGGGGGGAGGGTCAGAGGGAGAAGCAGACTCCCTGCCGAGCAGGGAGCCCGATGCGGGACTCGATCCAGGGACTCCAGGATCATGACCTGAGTCGAAGGCAGTCACTTAACCAACTGAGCCACCCAGGCGCCCGAGCACTAGGTGTTCTATGCAACTGATGAATCACTAAATTCTACCCCTGAAACTAATAAGAGTATATTATTAATAATATATAATATAAATTATATTAATAAAATATAATTAATGTTACCTAAATTAAATTTAAATAAAAAATTTTTCAAGATTTTTATTTGTGTGTGAGAGAGAGAAAATGAGTGGCGGGGGAGGGGCAGAGAGGGAGAAGAAGCAGACTCCCCGACTGAGCAGGGAGCCCAATGTGGGGCTTGATCCCAGGACCCTGGGATCACAACCTGAGCTGAAGGCAGATGCCCAACGGACTAAGCCACCCAGGTGCCCCTAAATAAAAATAAAATTTTTAAATCATTTGTTTAGTATCTGCCTTCATGCTCCCTCATCCCCAAACAATAAGCTCCATGAAAGGATCCCTCGTATCTAACACATTGCTTGGCCTGTAGAAATATTTTTTAAATGAGTAAAACCTCCACATGTCAGGGATGCTGGAACTGAGGTCTAAAAATAATTAGTGTATTTGGAGATTCCTCAGGGGGTGCCTGGGCAGCTCAATCTGTTGAACTTCTGACTGGATTTCGGCTTGGGTCATGATCCTAGGGTTGTGGGATCAAGCTCCACACTCAGCGGGAAGTCTGCTGGAGGTTTTCTCTTGCCCTCTGCACTATCGCCCACCCCTGTGCACTCACTAGAGTGCACTTTCTCTCTCTAAAATAAATAAATCTTTTTTTTTTTTTAAGGTTAAACACAGAATTACCATACGACCCAGCAATTCTACTCCTAGGTACATATATCCAAGAGAATTAAAAACAGGTGTTCAAATAAAAAACCTGCACATAAATGTTCAAATAAAAACACAAACTTTTTCACAAAAAATGGAAATAACCTAAATGTCCAAGAACTAATGAATGAAGAAACAAAATATGGAATATCCATAGAATGGAATATTATTTATCCATAGAAAGGAATAAAGTACTGACACATGGTACAACATGGATTAATCTTGAAAACATTATATTAAGTGTAAGAAGCCAGGCACAAAAGATCACATGCTGTATGACATTTAAATGAAATGTCCAGAATAAGCAAATCCGTACAGACAAAAAACATATGTGACTGTCAGGGTCTAGGGGAAGGAGGGAATGAGAAATGACTGTTTAATGAATACGGGAATTCTTCTAGGGGTGATGACAATGTTCTGGAATTAAGACAGTGGTGATGGTTGTACCACCTTATGAAAAGCCACTAAACTGTATAGTTTTAAATAGTTAAAATGGTAAATATTACCTTATGTTAAATTTACATCAAAAAATTAAAAAATAAGGGCGCCTGGGTGGCTCAGTTGGTTAAGCGACTGCCTTCGGCTCAGGTCATGATCCTGGAGTCCCTGGATCGAGTCCTGCATCGGGCTCCCTGCTCAGCAGGGAGTCTGCTTCTCCCTCTGACCTTCCCCCCTCTCATGTGCTCTCTCTCATTCTCTCTCTCTCAAATAAATAAAATAAATAAATAAATAAAATAAAATAAAATAAAAAAATAAGAATGAGACCCAAAGTCGATGCCCTCATTTCCCATTTTTTATTTCTATTACTCATAATGCTTCTCCGATGTGACAAAAGCCAATGATTTCTTTTTTTTTTAAAGATTTTATTT